TCTGGACCGAGACGCCTTGTGCTGATGGGTGAGGACATGTTCGTTTGGGGGCAGCAACCTTCACCTTTCTGGCCATCAAAACTTAACAACTGTAATAAGGAAGAATGTCCATCCATCCGTCCCTCCATCCATCCATCCATCCATCCATCCAAACAACTGCTTGTCCAGGTGAAACTCGCAGCATGAACACCATCCTAATTCCTCAACAGAATATCAGCAGACATCGATAGCCTGAGTATCTGGCAGCAAAAGCATTTTGAAATGGCTGGAGGTGCAGTGGTGGGGACACAGTGGTGGGGACACAGTGGTGGGGACACAGTGGTGGGGACACAGTATCCCAGGACGCGGCCGGAGCAGAGAACAACCTCAGGCTGTAATGGCCAGTACCGTGATTGCTGGCATACAAACAATCCTCCATATTGCCTTCTTGTCTTTCTAAAAAACAGGGCGACATCATTGGTCAGCCACATAACTCAATAGAAAGCTGGGCTTCTACAGGCCTTTAGGAGACATCACTACTGCTCACATGTAAATGTGATCAGATTAGCCCCTGATGAGGTCACAGTCACATGACCTAACAGTACGAGTCTGTGCACAATGCCCACTGTGTGCTGAGTCTGAGTGTCGACCTCGTTGTGACGGTTGTAATGCCATTCATGTCTGTGTGAGTCACAATCATCTGAACTGAACTGCAGCCAACGTGCCCCTCTTCTTAAACATGAGGCAGTTGGGTGCGGCTTTGCAGCAGCCAGCCAGACGGTGGCGTAGTGGCTGAATAACTAAATATGAGCTAGAAATGCTGCGGGGCGTGTTAGTTATGGCGTTTAAACTGAATTGTCTTAAATACGATACGATACGAAGTGAACAATACAAGCAGTACAACTGAAATACATGAATCCCTTTGGGAAAAAAAAGGTTAATTAAGTAATAAATGAAAGTTACTTATGCCAGGCAGCACAGCTGTTGGTTTTGTTGCCAAAAGTGATAACATTGAAAAATTGAAAAAATCTGAAGCAAAAAAATTAATATCAGGCAAAATATTCAAATATATTACACCTTTATCACAGATTTTTAAATCTAAGAATATGTGCTAAAGAATCTAAATCTAAAGAATGCGAAAATTTTGAGCCATGAACAGCAGGTACTGCTGGGAAACGCAAAGGGCTAAATGCCTCAAGGGGGCCTGTGACTGTCCGTTAAAGGCGGACGGCCACCAAACAAGCTCAGGAAGTAAAGCCAAGTGAGAAACAGCAACCAAAATGCAGCATTAAACGTATTTCTGTATCTACCTGACAGTCAAGGTCTCCTAGGTGTCGCACAGTCAAAGCCTCAGTTGCATGCCCACTTCCACAGACGTGCTCACACAGCGGTCCGGGGCTTGATCTCTGTCACTCACTGCTTCTCACACACAGCGGTCCGGGGCTTGATCTCTGTCACTCACTGCTTCTCACACACAGCGGTCCGGGGCTTGATCGCTGTCACTCACTGCTGCTCACACACACAGCAGTGTCTCTCTCACACATTCACACTTTCCTTTTCACATCTTTCTCTCTTGTTCCCCGTTTCTCTCACACACTCACAGTTTCCCTTCAGATCCTTCTCTCTCCCTCCCTGTCTCTCTCTCGCTCCCTCTCTCTCATACTTTAGATCCTTCTCCCTCCCTGTCTCTCTCTCGCTCCCTCTCTCTCATACTTTAGATCCTTCTCCCTCCCTGTCTGTCTCTCTCTCTCAGACACTCATGCTGCACCTTAGCCTCTCTCTTACCCTCTCTCACATACATTCTCTCTGTAACACACTGACACCCACTCTCTTGCCACAGTAACGGAGGGCTGACTGTCGCCACTTTGCCTTCCTGAAATGTGACTCACCCTACCCTGACACACGCCCACGCACACGCCCCCTCCTTCCGACTCTCGCAGTATTCCAGGTGTGGGTGTAAACGCGGCACCATCATGACTAGGCTAGCAAAAACCACAGCTCCTTTTTGCCCCCCCCCACGCCCCCTACCCACGTGTGGGGCCCACGCAGAACGGCTGCTCCATTCGTGATGTCATGCGCGGTGTGCCTCGCCTGTTCGTAGGCGGTGGGGGCCGCGTGGGTGTGACCGCATGTTTCCCGCTGCCCAGTTCTTACTAAATCACAGTTCACTTAGTAGGACTGAAGTGTCACATGAAACCTCAGCAAGGAACTTCATTGAAGCTGAGAGTGACATAGCATGGCTCAATGGCAGATGATCGGACTCAACAGCCAATCAGAGCAGTTTCAGTGGTTTGTCTTAATCAGGCCCCTTATTGATGGAATTCATATTCAATGACATCATGTTTAGCACTAAACTAGGACAGTGGAGATGGTGGGTTTTGATGCTCCCCAGGACAAACTGGAGACCCTTTTCTGAATATCATGCCCCCCCCCCCCCCCAGGGCCTGGTCACACTGATTGCTCCTGTAAATGCAGGCGACATGCTGGAAAACACAAGGGATGGACAGAACACTCACGTCAAGTCTGAAAATCACCTCCGTTTCCAAGCGATCCCCATCAGTGTAAAGTGCCCTGCTCCTCCAGAAGAGCCGCTGTCTGACCAAAGACGAGTATGTCTGACCAAAGACGAGTATGTCTGACCAGAGATATGTCCTCATACTGCTACAAGCCTCAGTCTGCGTCTACCTTCATTGATGAAACGAGGAATAGCATCCACTGCCTCAGGGCTTGTCATTCAAAAGGATGGGTTGTGGCACAAGCTTCAGGAAACACATACTCTCGCCAGCCGGCTGATTTGTCACCCTGGGAAGCATTTGGCACAGCTGCCAGCTGATTGGCAGAGCAGTGTGCCCATCACAGCAGGCCAGCCAGCCAATCACAGCTTGCTCTGGTGCCACGTACTTGAAGCATCTGTCCGGCCTGTCAGCCGAGGCTCGCAGAAGCGCCGCCAGCTTTGTCCCTCCACGGTCCAAATCACCGGGTGACGCGGCAAGATCGGGACTATACAGCTTCAGTCACCCTGGACCTCAGCTGAAAATCCACAATCAGATTTAGTCACCGAAACCACAAAAGGTCGGTGCCCTGGCATATTGGACCCTGCCCATCGCCTCCTCAATAGCCACCGCGGGAAGAACTAGGCTGACCCGAGACTACGGATTCACAAATTACCCATAATACCTTTCACTGCACCATTAAGCCCACGATGCAAATGCACAATCAGCACCTGAGTTTTTTTTTTTTTGGGGGGGGGGGGGGGTCAACCTTGTCACTCTAATTTAGACAGAATTTCAACACCTTGCGTACCCCACATCCTTGGTGACTTTCACAGAGAAAAAGAAAAAAAAAACGTCTTGCTTTCCCAAAACAGCCTCCCTCAAAGTTAGAGATAATGTCTGAGGCAGACGCCCAGGATGTAAAAAAGCCTCCTATCTGTCAACACTTAAAAATGAATTACCTTCCCAATCAAGGAAAGCAAACCCAACAAACACAGCCATAAGTTGAACATCAGAAGAAAATGATTATTTTTATTTATGTGAAGAAAGATTTTTTTACCTCTTAACTGGAATGCTCCTAGTCTGTCTACATTTTGATTGTTGGTCTTCAGCCTGAATGAGATAATTAAGACGTATTTAGTTTTTGAAACAAGCTGATCATGGAGCGTGAATTTAAGTGTGTAAGTAAGGTGTGTGTCTTGGCAGCTTGCGTTGGTCTGTGGTAGGACCCAGGTGAAACCTCTCGTATTTTGGCCCCTGAGGACCAGCAGAGGCTCATGGGTAGCCGAGCAGCAGGAGTCGTACTGGCTTCCATCGGGACGTCATAAAAACACACTGCTGGCACCGTCCTCAGAGGCTATGGGCTGATGTCAGCAAACCACTCGGCCCAGTTCTCCTGTCCAAGTAGTGTCACTGCCCATAATTCCCCCCCCCCCCCCAAAGGGACTAGAACTATGGGGGTAATATAACACAGGAACCCACAACCCTGTGCTACAAAACTGAATGGATGTAACATTAGGGAAACCGGGACCCCATGGAGTTTTTACCGCGATTCATTTAGTCGCTTGTCGCTATAGCCGTTTAACCATAAAGGTTTTTTGTTCTGAGATGCGTGTCCTGATTATGGGACGACCGCGCATTAATGTAAACTGACCACAATAACCAGCTTTGCGAAAAGCCAGTGTTCATTTAACCACAGTCAAAGAAGAAAAACACAGCAAAGTTTTTAAAAGGTACGCCATCTTTGGTACCCTTGTTCTGGTCATGCGAGTGGAGCGGCCATTCCTGGGCCACGAACCAGCAAGGTTTTGGTGAAGGATTCATACCCACGTTTCAACCCAAATCGTCCTCCCGACACTAATACATCACTTTAAAACCTGTTTTTTTCTCTTTGTTCGGCACAAATGTAAATTTCAGTGTTTAATGGGCCTAACTGGAGCGCTATGAGCATTACTGAATTATCAAACACTGAATATTCATGCCATGAACACCTGAAATGCAACTTTACCCTGTTACTCTGGGGAAATGATGCTTCAGCGTTTCCAGTTAATACTCTTTATTTCTTTCGATAGCATTAGGACAGCAGATAACAAAGGCAGAAATATTAATGTAATGTTAATGAATGAATTTGAGTTCAACATTAATCTGGTGCAATTAAAATGTCACCAAATACTCCATTCTGCTGTAATCAGTCCTCGTCCACGTCTGCATATGATTCTAACTTTATGTTTTTGCATTTGCGTGCATACGTATGTCTGTGCATAGATGCACGCTCTCTCTACTCTTCACGGGATAATTCAGGTGGAAAACGCACCAATTACCAATGCTAAATTGGGGTTCATAATGACAGATTGCCATGAATTCTAAAATACAAAGTGAAGTACTTTTGCTAATGGATTTCGCCCCCTGAATCATTAGTATTCGTAACACGGCTTGCGCCGGCATCTCTGTATCAACACTGGCGTCGCAAGGAGCTTTAGGCTCAAAAGAAACGCTTTGCCCATTCTATCCATCAGTCGAAAAGTACAGAGGTAAAACACTGGTAGAATGCCGACAATCCCAAAAAAAGGAAGAAAAAAGAAAGAGTACTTCATCGTAAGGAACATCCCGGGACAGCCGGTAAATGTGATGTCAAAGGTTTCGCTTTGCAAGCCGCGTTTTCTCCGTAACAGCCCTTGAACAATCTTCAAGGTACATTAATAGTTTTTTTTCTCAGTTATAGGAGAGGACGATTTGCATGAACTGTCTTAGCGGTGGAAAAGCGAGAAAACACTTTGCCACCCTGAAACGCCACAAGCGGCCATTGTTCTGGTCCGTCGAGCGCACCATCGGGGCCCCCGGCTCCCAGCCACGACGCGGCCGGATGCGCCACGGACGGCGGTCCACGGGCGATACTCCCAGCCGCCGTCACGATTCATTTACGTCTGCAGTAAGACACCCCGTTGCCGCTCTGCCTTATCAAAAATGTAAGTAAATAAACAAATGCATACATGTTACTGTTAGCAATATTAATAAGCATAGGCATAATACTAATTATTATATTATCTAATTCTACTACGATGGTCCTGGCGTAAAAAGATCGCTGCGGTGGTTAAATAATGAGACGGGGAAAACGTAAATACTTCATAAGCGAACCAAAAGCGCTTGATCCTTAAATCATTTAAAAAGTTGCTGCCGTGCAAATGTTATTCTAGTTAACAGAGCCATTGACGAATGTTTACCACATATCGTGTCATCTCGACACAGGTGTGTAACTAATGTTTTAAAATAGTGTTGTTGGTTTAGAAATGCACTTAACATTCCGAAGTTGGTTATTAACGCTTAAACGTGTGGCTCGCAAGCGCCCCCTTACGGAAAATTATGAATAATTCCGCTCACTTTAAGAATAGACGGGTTAACAAATGCTGAAGCGCGGTACAGCTACAAGTAATGGCAATCACTCTCCAGGTTAAAACAATAACATAATAAAGGCGCCAAGAGAAAACAAGGATTACTCAAGGTTCGCTGTAGTGTAAGGGTGGACAAAATTTAAGCAGGATGCATGAAGAAATAATATATTTATTATGCAAAGATAATATTATCTCAGCGTTTTTGGGATGGAATTTTATACAGGTAGTCAAGACGTATTCTGCTACACGCAGGGATGTTAAGTATCTAAAAGTAATAGTAATGATCTCACACAATTAAATTAGGTGTAATATAACATGTAATATAACATTTGGGTGTAATATAACATCTTTCACATATAGCATGAGAAAGATGATGCAAAACAATTATGCATCTCCAACTGAACGATAGGCTTTACGTTTTATGATTTAAAAAACTTAATTTCTGACCATTTGCAATCAAAACGCAACGAGGCAAGTTACTGGGTGCAACACCGATGGTGGCTATAATATCACCAGCAGGCTGATTCCGCCGCAGTGTATCATGCGAGCAAGTATATCAACAGCTGTCAATTCAAACTAAAATAAAGTAAAGAAAGGAAACCGGGCCCCACTTTTCCACCCTCTTCTCCTTTCTTCCTCAAGCTAACCATTTTATTCTTTTTCTCCACTCACTCACTTCGTTCAGTCATGGGGTCTCCCCGGGGTAATCACATTCCAAAACACACACAAGAATTTCCTTCTCTCGAGCTCACATACCACCCCTCCTCCCCTAACCTAGAGGAAAGACGTACAGAACCCGGGGTTCAGCCAAGCAGACTGCTCGATCTTTAAAGACTGCATTCATGCAGTCCGCTTTCATTCTCTGCTCGTGCTGTTCACAAAAGGTGCAATGCAGGGAAGTACCGCATTCCGCCCGCTTCGAGAAATATTGTCAAAAATGTAAAACACGTAAAACCACACAGCATTAAATGTAGGTCCGACCACCGAGAGACCACACACCAAGTGGACGTAGTACTCTCACCACGCTCACCAATAACGAGAAAATCATTATATGGAACTGGACTGAAGTGGCTTTCGTACCATAACGACTTAATAAAATGCTCCTGTGTGTTTTTTCCCCAGAAAACAGTAAAATATTCAGAAACACACACACATGCGCGCGCGCGCGCACACACAACAGCATTGGACTACGTGTGCGCGGAGACCCATTAAAATGACCAGCACCTCTACCCAAAGAAATCCGCATTTACATCTCACAATTATGTCGGTATATTTCGGAAAAACAAAACGAAAAAGAGGCAGAGGAATGCTAACGAAAAGAGACAAACGAGCAGCTAGTATGCGCTCCTCTCCGCTACCTTTTGTCTGCCCCTGCTGTAAAGTCGCGCATTTCCCCGCCGCCTTCCAGAGCTGCTGTCGCTGGAGAGCCGCCGCAGACGCCAGACAATCTGTAGTAAGGTTTACAGCCTTCCCCCAGAAGAAAGAACAAAACAGAAAGAAAGAAGGACAGAAAGAACCCAAAAAATCCACCGCGAGGGGAAAATGGCTGTGCAGCAAATGAAAAGAGCTCCTCAATTGAATATTCACTTAATGATCTCATCATTCACTCATCTGCTTGTTATTTCCCGTTCCTCTTATCGGCTGCCTCGATGCGTCTCCGGTTGCCAGATCAGTAGGAAACGGCGACGGTTTTAATGTCGTCCGCGATCTCAGCCCATTCACAAACGGTACTGCTCAGCCCCCGAAATGACTTATGAGCCGCAGTCACCTCTGAATTCCCCTCGCTCGGGCGGGACCGTCCCTAACGCGACCTACTACTTCGGGGACAGACATATGTATATTTCATGCTGGAATTTCAGACAGGAAAGTCCTCGTGCATGAAAACCCCGATACTATCTCAACGAGACAAGGGCAGAAAGCGTTGGTCAAATAAAGCACTAATTTCATAGAAGCGTCGATTAAATTTGGCTGAATAGGCGACCGTTTTCTCAGAAAGCGAGATTCACGCACACATGAATTACCGTATATTTCATTGGAAAAGCATTTCCCCTTTACAATAAAAAAAGCTTTGCTGTATGGATGAAAGATGAAAACTATGCAACGACACTTATCTATATGTGCAAGTAGGCTACTGCAATGTAGGCTATATGTTTTATTTATTTATTGCATTTATGAAAGTTTTAACCAAAAGCAATAACTTTGTAATAATGTTTTTTAATTGAATGCCGATTATGAATGCATTTTCTTATCCACACGTTCTTCAGGAAAAGCAAATCTGTATACCAGTGAAAATAATCAGCTTTCAGTTTTCGTTTCATCGATTTCCACGCAATGGTTTCAGATATCGACCGTAACAAACTAACAAAAAACGATACGTTTTAACTATGTATTTCCTAACCGTCCACTTTTTTCTCAAGGCAGTTGTCAGTAAAGTCCCTCAAAAGTTTTAGGCAAATAAGAGTTACTGATGACTTGACCTTATCATTGATTAAAACATGGTTTAAAAAGCCAAGATGTTTATAAAACAGAGGAATAGCTACCATTAAATTATCAGTGCCAGCTGATGGGAGACAAAATGTACATTTCTGATTTAAAAATGGTCATCAGCTAACCCCTGCATTGTATAATATATTCCCTAAGAAAAGTATTTTAAATATGGCCTAGCTTACACAAAATGTCGAAAGAATGATCTATCAGTATCAGGAAGGCATCGAGAAATACAGATAAACAGCGTTACCAGCAGACAAAACGCACGTCCCGAAGACGCTGCCGGCGATGTTGCAGCATGCCGTCTTGTGCAATGTAGTCCCTGGAGTTGTCAGCATGCAAATATTAAATGCCGTCCTTTGTTTATTTCTATTGTGCTGTCTTTGAGTACCGTTATTGGTCTTCTTAGTGGGGAAAAAAGACCTTTTATCGTTTGAGAACAAAGAGTCGGCTGGCGGCCCTTTGCTGTGACGTTATGTGTTTTTTTTTTACAGTACATAGCCTACTGGGGGTTTCACCAAGAATGTGACTGGCAGGAAATGATAACAGGAATCCAGAAGGCTCGCGCTCAGTGCACCTCACCTCCTCGCATCACCCAAGGCCTCAGAAGCGTGTCCCGATCGCTTATGGGATGCAGGGGGGAAATTTAAGCCTGTGGGAGGTGCCTGCCGATTTACATAAATTTCCAAAACACCTCAGAGAAGTACAAGATGGACTTTCATTCTTTATTTTCCACTGTCTTTGTCTTTTTCAGAAAACGCCTCATTTCTGCTTCGTGACTGTTCAAGTGAAAGTGACTTAAGTGCCGAAAAACCAAAAATCAGATATTAAATGCGTCACCAATTAACAAACAACTAATCATCTTTTGCCTTTTATTTAAAATAAAAAAATTATCAAAGAAGTGAGTAGCTCATGGTTGATATTTGAAATTTGCCAAAAAATCAGAATACATGTTTAAAATGTTACGGCTACATTTGTATGTTTACTGCTTCAAGTTCTGAAGTTATTCTATTCTGAATAATAGAATTAATTCTTTCAGGGTGCATCCTTTACAAGTGTGTAAAATTTTTAATGCATGACATAAGACAAACAAACCCGTACCGTACAAGCATGTACAGTTCATAAAAATAAAACATAATCTTTAAAACCCACCAGATTTTGAAACAATGAGCTTGAGAGTCAGACACAACATTTTGTTACAAATTCATCGTAACATGATGCTATGGCAACTATCTGTATCTGTAATTCGGTCGCACCGTTTAAAGATCGCCGCAGTGATCCTGACGATTGTGTTTAATAATAAATGGAATTAATTACTTTGATTTATTCACTCGTGATCGAAAACGATTGTTTAAAGTAGAAATTTGACAGTTTAACACGAGGTTGATCTTTATATCATCAAGTATTTAAAAGTCATGTCTACTGGTTACTACTGTCATAAGCTATTTGCAACTGCCTCTTTTGACAAAATAGCCATCTGCTTTTCTACATAAATTAAGATAGCGGTCAAGACGTTTAAATAACTGGTTCCAACTTGCCTGTCATTAATTTAGTTTTATCCGGTCGTTAATGATCCTTATGTTGGGTCTAATTGCAGTCGGCAGCCAAATATCCTTGTTAATAACTTCACAGGCACATTTGGGCGTTTCGAGACAAACAGACAGACAGACGGATAGATAGATAGATAGACAGATAGATAGATAGATAGATTGATTTGCTGCTGAATGTTAATTATTAAGTTAGTCACTTAATTGTGTAGAAGCACCGTGGAACCTTGGAATTTTCAAATTTGTCCCGAGATATGATGCATTTGTGATGCATATGAACCACACAAATATAATATATATATATATATATATATATATATATATATATAATATAATTATACAATTATAATTAGCCTATACAAATATATAATTTTATTTATTCCTCTGCAAAATACAGCCGCAAAATGGAATTAAGATTTGTCGATACCGTCAGATTAGCACAGCAATGCGCAGTCCAACTAATCTTCAATAACAGGGATTTTGGCTGGATTATTGAACTGTAAAGGTTATTTTATTCTATTAATTTAGCATGCAAACAGTACTCTGTCCATTTCAGAGCTCTTGGTGTTGAACATATTTAACCAGTGTACTTTTCCATTCTTGTTTGCTGCATTTAGAATTCCACACCAAGCTAAATAAAATCCATCAGATGCATTTGTTAAAAATGTAATCTGGAGTGGTTTTTGTGATATTGTCTGTTAATATTACTGAAATGTTATCCAGTTAAATGTAAACGAATCTACTTGTTTAGTCAATTTCAATCATTTGGGGACGAGGGCACATTTGGGGAGGGGGGCACATTTGGGGAGGGGGGCGTTGGCCTCACCAATGTGGTGTAAACAAAGCGAGCTGAACTGATGACAAGAGGAAGGGGGGGGGGGGCACCCAGGCTCCCCACACATGCGGCTTACTTCTCCTCACCTGCACCATTCATGTGCTCAGAGGAGATAATGACGTCCTCTTTAAAGCCCAGAGGAGAACATCAAGGACATTTTGTGTTTGTTTTGGCCTGATTGTGACGCCACAACTGAACCAGCATCAGTCAAGGGGGCGAAAGCACTTACAGATAAAATGGCAGCTTGTACAAGATCAAGCCCAACCTGTGTCATCCCTGATGTCTTAGTCACTCTTCACCATTCTCTTCGCTGCATCTCACAGCGGGTTAGATGGTTTGAGAAGATCTTCCTGATCGTCCCAGCTGTCCATTTTACTAAGAAGAAGAAACATCCTCCAAACATTTGTAAACATTTGGCTTTAGCATTTGCCAGGATCATTTGCCAGGACTTCCTGCATGATGTTCTTAAGTCTGACATCCAAAAGCCTCAGTGCACCTCAGTTGCTCTAAGATAACAACTTCAAGGCTGTTTGCTGTATTTCCAAGCTAATCTGCAGTCACACCTTTCACAAAGTACATGTAACACAGAACAATTTCTGACAGCTGCCCCTTGTTGTGATTTGGGCAGATCCTGGAAAACAACAAATTCATTTTTTGTCAATTACTATATAAGGGCAATGTCATTATTGTATAGTGTGAAATATCTGTGCAAAAGTTTAAATCTATTCATAATTTGGATCTGTAATCGTTTCATTTTAAAATAATGTATTGAACTATGAAATATAGTATTTTGCCACAACTCTGTGCCAAATACTGTACTCCGCCTTAGACTCTCGAAAGAGCAGAAATTGAAGCATCCTGAAATTAAAAATGCTAATTATCTCTGGGCTCCATCCATTGCTGCAACAGCCAGTGTGTCAGTGATGCAGAATTTCTGTGTCTGACCAACCAGCCTTTTGCCGTAACGGAAGCCAAGGGTGCCGCCGCCACGAAAAGCCTAAGAAATGATGTACAGATTTTCAGCATTTTTAGTTTTTTTTTCCCCGTCCCCCACTAACTGTCACAGAGAACACATGGTTTATCTAAGCCCCCCCCCCACATAATGCTCACGTTCACCTGGATATCACACTCCTAAATGTCACAACCCTACAGGGGCCTGCTAACCCTAACCCTAACCCTAACCCTAACCCCACCCTCCACCTCCACCCTTGTTGTCCCGCTGTAACTGGTAGGCTGACGGCTGAACCCCCCCCCAAACTGAGGCACCCGCATGTCTGCTGGGTCTGACAGGGGAACTGGGCCCCCCCTTCAGGTTTTTCCAGCCGACACTGGTATCACGAGCATCACCTCCGCCTCTCCCCTTATGAGCCCGCCTGGGAAAACCCCTATCGCCGACGGCAGCTGTTTCCCCCGGCAACCTGAAACACCAACCCTGCCTGCTGGGGTTACCCCGCCATGCAAGTGGGCTCTTTCCTCTTTCCCAGGGCCCTCTGACCACCTCTCTTATGCCCTCCGAAAGCTGCCAGCAGACTGAGCTCCCTGCTCCGCCATATCGGAGACCCCAGACGTGCATGGGACGGTGGTCATGTCCCCTCTGAGTGCCACTGTGCCTGACCTCCTGTGGCATTTCTGCGGTCGCTGTTTTTCTCACAGTTGTACCCGCACCTCAACCGACATGCAGCTGCAGGCAGAACAAAGGCAGCTGGGTCTCCCCTGGCACACCGCTCCCGGTACCGCCGCGAATCCCCCCGGCACATCTCTCACAGCACAATGCTCCCAGCACAGCCGCGAGTTTCCCCGGCACACCTCTCCCGGTACCACTGTGAGTCTTCCCCGGCACACCGCTCCAGGCACCACTGCAAATCCCCCCCGGCACATTTCTCACAGCACAATGCTCCCAGCACAGCCGCGACTTTCCCCGGCACACCGCTCCCGGCACCGCCGCGAGTCCCCCCAGCCTATACAGACACGCTCTCTTCCCTGCTCCTCGTTGAGCTGTGCATTGCTGAACGTAGCGCACAAAGGAATGGCACTCTGCACCTGTGCTCTGGAGTGAATGGCAGAGAGCAGTCTCTGGCCAATCTGTCCCCCAGGCACTGGGATGCAGGGCTGGGCCCAGCTACGGTCCTGAGAGGCTCCCCCCCTGCCCCCCCCAGCCCTACCTGTGCAGCCGGCTCAGACGGCGGTTTCCTGGTTCCTCTCTGTAGCTTGCTTTGTCTCCTCTCTCTCTCGTTCTCTCTGTCTGTCTCTCTTCTCTGCTTGCAGGCTGCAATATCCCCACAAAGCCCCCCCCCCCCCCCCCCCCCCCCCCCCCCCCCCCCCCCCAGTAGCTTTCTGGAACTAAGACGCTCTGCAGCTTCAGCACTCATTTTCTTTCTGCTCCCATCTTTTCTAAATTCCACACTGAAATGAATGGATGCCCCGAGTATGCCCCCCCATCCCTATGAAATGCAAAGATTATCTGATTTGATTTTATTTGGCCTGGCTGTTCTGGCGATTTCTTACCCAGCGCTGTTCCCCTTTCTGTTCCCCTTCCCACTCCCCTTTCCGCTCCCCTTCCTGTTCCCCTTCCCGTTCCCCTTCCCGCTCCCTTTCCCATTCCCCTTCCTGTTCCCCTTTCCACTCCCCTTCCCGCTCCCCTTACCGTTCCCCTTCCTGCTCCCATTCCCCTTCCCGTTCCCCTTTCCGCTCCCCTTCCGGTCCCCTTTCCGCTCCCCTTCCGGTCCCCTTTCCGCTCCTCTTCCCACTCCCCTTTCTGCTCCCCTTCCCGCTCCCATTCCCGTTCCCCTTTCCGCTCCCCTTCCTGCTCCCCTTCCCGTTCCCCTTCCCGCTCCCCTTCCCATTCCACTTCCCATTCCCCTTCCCGTCCCCCTTCCGGTCCCCTTCCTGTTCCCCTTCCCATTCCCCTTCCCGCTCCCCTTCCCATTCCCCTTCCCGTTCCCCTTTCCGCTCCCCACCCCGTTCCCCTTTCCGCTCCCCACCCCGTTCCCCTTTCTGCTCCCCTTCCCCCTCCCGTCCTGCTTCTGTGCTGTGATGCATATGATGTTTTTGCAGGAATCTCTTGCATGGAAGCAACTTTTTTGATGTGTTTGTTTATTGCATGCAGTTAAAAATTTCAGAATAAACCATAAACAAGACCTGCACAGCAGTGAAAGCTCCCTCTGGACTTTTCCAGAAGCCCTAATCCACTGGATCAGATGGTTACTCTGGGATACCTGTGGTTTCAAGAGGGTCTTTTTATTAACAATCATGTCCAAATGAGCAGGGCAGCTGCCTTCTGCAGAAAATCAGCTGAAACACTTTCAACTGAACATTTTTTGTTTTTAATTAAAATCTTATCACAGCATTATGCACGAAATCGGAGAATTGCAGCAGTGCCACTTTCATTTTTGCTAACATTTATAAATAGTATTTAAAAGATATAATGCATTTTGGTGCAAATTCTTCGAAGGCTACCTGTTACTGGTGGTTAGTCACCCAGCAACATTGCCAACACTGTCTCAGCTTCTCGACCAGTTT